GCTGAGAGAAACACAGGCAACAAGTCTGTCATTTCACATCCAAACATTCCAGGCTGAAATTCACAGCATGAATAAGGGGGCCCGGACCTGCACAACAGCAGGAAACGCCACTGCCCTGGGTGAGGGCTTCCCTGGGGCTGTGAGATCGTACTGGGGCTGTGACTGTACTCAGTAACATCTGTGGGACACATCCCACATCTCTTTTCTATATTTTAAACAAATCTTCTATATTTGTTTCTATATTTCTATACATATATAGGGAGCCAGAGAGCATGGTGCTCAGTGAAATAGACAGACTGATAAACACCAAATGACTTCACTCATGATTGGTAGGTACAGGGGGGAAATGAACAAATGAAACAAAGTGAAAACAACTCTTGGACAACAAGGAGAAGAGAATGCTGGTTCACAGAAGGCAGGGGAAGTAGGAAAACTGGGAAACAGCTAGAGGTTTGGGGGAGCATGGTATAGTACATATGGGTGCTGATATATTGGTGTGGAGATCACATCGACATATGACAAACTGTGCACTTTAACAATAAAAACATGGCGGGGGGGCTTCCTTGTTGGGGCGGAAGTTAAAGCACAGCACGTAAGAAGCTAAAGTCACTGCAGCATGAGTTCAATCCTCGTCCCGGAGCTGACCCCCATGACGCCCGCAGACCTCTCCTGACCCGCCCGCTGCTCCCCTCAGCAGTGTACTTCATCCATCTGCCTGTCTGCTCCCCACTCTGTCTCTGATGAATCTTCTCACCACCCCTGCACTTCGGGCCTGTACCACAGTTCTGTGTGCATAAAAAAATAATCTTTTTTTAAAAAAATTAGAAAAAATCTTGAAATAAAAGGAAATGTGAGGGGGAAAATTTATGGAAGACAATTCACACAAAGTCAAAACAAGCAAATTCATGGGATGCTACATGCGTTTTAGACATTGAGCCACAAGCAATAAAACTGCAGTGGAAACTACAAGTGATACAAGCAGGCACCACAGGGGATTCCACTAAAGGGAAGCAACAAAAAACATCTGAAGACAGGTGCCCAAGAATTTCTAAGGATTACGCCGTTCTACTCGGGTGAATAGCAGCAGGTGGGCAGTAACTGTATTCTCAGTCCCAAATCTGCAACAGCTTTGGCGCACTCTTTGGAATGATTTAAAATAAAAATAAATGTGAACTCCAAGGACAGCAGCCCGGGCATATTACTGCTCTCTCTGCGCAACGGGCTCTTGCAAGATGAGGATATTACCTCTATGCTCACCCATCCTCCACAGGGTTGGGGAAGTGATGACCGTGACCCAGGATTTGGTCTCCGGACTTACTTCCTGGGACGGATGTTCTGTCCATGAGCCCCGGGTTCTAACTAGGATGTGTGGGCTCCTGCTCCAGCAGGGTCCTGCTCCAGGTCAAGCCAGGAGGGTGGGTCCAAGCCCAGCTCACCCAAGACAGAAGTCAGGGTCCCCATGGGTCTGCTTCGGTCACTCTGAATGGAATTAGCACTGGAACTGCCGGGACACAGGGGGCCAGGGACCAGGGTGGCCGCCGGGAGCTTGGACAGTCGCCCCACCTCTCCCTAACTAGCAGGCATGGGACTGGGTCTCAGGAGACACAGCCTGTGAAAAGTCAGCAGCTCGTCCTGGCTCCCTGCCTGAGGCGTCACGGAAGCCCCGAGTCGTCCGGCTGTGCCACTCTGATCACAGCGAAGGGCCCTGTGGCTCCAGCATGTCTGCTTGGGGAGACAGTGGCTCGGCCACCCCCATGTCCCCACTGCAAGTATCGCAGGCTGGGACTGGCCAGCATGTCCAGGTAAGAGCTGGGGTGCAGGGGTGTAGTAAGAGCAGCGTCCAGGTAAGAGTTGAGGTGCAGGGGTGGAGCAAGAACAGCATCCAGGTAAGAACTGAGGTGCAGGGATGGAGCGAGAACAGAGTCCAGGTAAGAGCAGAGGTGCTGGGGTGGAGCAAGAGCAGCGTCCAGGTAAGAGCGGAGGTGCAGGGGTGGAGCAAGAGCAGTGTCCAGGTAAGAGTGGAGGTGCAGGGGTGGAGCGAGAGCAGCCTCTTTCAAGGGCTCGTGTGTGAGCACCTGCAGGAGCAAACACACACACACAGCCAAGCTCACAGACCTCTCCCTTCCTCTTACTTTCCACTCATTCCCTGCCAATATTTGGGCTCCTGTGAAAACCACCTTGAGCTCATCACGACCCTCGTGACCGGGTCAGGGGAGCTGTGCTCAGGAGTCCAGACACCCCGACACCAGTTGCTCCCTGATGAAGACAGCACCTGTGTCATAGCACAGCCCGAGGCCCCCTGCCCTGCACGGCCACACGGGTTACAGATCACCTCAGCCCCCAGCAGCCAGCAGTCACTGGCTCCTCTGCATTCACCCAGTGGACACAGAGATTCAACTCAAATTCCTTCTTTTGAATTCCCTCAGCTAGGCTGATTGATTCCCCTCCTGAGTAATAAAGGGGAACTGAGATGTCTAAAGGTTTTGGGCCCAGTTACACATGGTCTACGTGCCCAAATCATGCTTCAGCAGAGGGTTCTGCACCCACACACCCATTTCAGGTGCTGGTGATGATGCCGTGAAACGGTGACGCTCACCCAGAGTGCCTGAGCCACGGACACCTGTCAGTTACCCCCGACCTGAGGGCAGTGGCTGGGGCAGGACAGGGACAGAGCAGATGAGGTGACTGAGCACCTCCTTTTGAATATTGTCGAAATACTATAAATCCGTAATTGAATTGTCATCCACAGTCCATAAGGTGAACCCCACCCTTATTCCTTTTAAACTTAAACAGCTATATGGGAACAGAAGCCAAAAAGGGAAAGTGACTTTCTCACTGCCACACAGAAGCCAGAGGGAGGGGCAGGCCCCGCTGGAGGCTTAACTGGTTAGGACCCAGCTCTGCAGCCAGCACAGGGCCAGCCCCACCCCCGCCCTGGAGCTGACCCACAGGGCACAGCAGACCTCTCCTGACCCGCCCGCTGCTCCCCTCCGCAGTGTACTTTGTCGATCTGCCTGTTCTGCTCCCCACTCTGTCTCGGGTGAATCCGCTTACCCCCATACCTCTGGCCTGTACCCCATACTTCTGTATGCGTAAATAAATAATTCTCTTTTAAAAAAGAAAAAGAAGCCAGAGGGAGAGGATATTTGTAACCTCAATGCTAAACAGCCCACATGGCCCCAGGGCCCCTGACTGCCCATGGCCTTTCTCCCCCCAGGCCTCACTGGACAGCGGGGCATTGCCGCTGTGATGGCCCACGATGGCTGAGGACAGGCCTTCAACTGACCCCCCCGCTGGCCCCCTCCACACGCCACTCAGGTGAGGCTACTGTCTCAGCTTACAGAGGAGAGAGCAAGGGCCAGGGCCACAGAGAGAGCACCTTCCCCGAGCCTGAGAGCCTGAAAGGGGGCAGCCAGGGTGGTCCCCCCCTCTGGCCAAAGGTGTGCCACACCACACTGGCCACAGCCCAGCACCCCGACAGAGCCCGCCCTCCCTGCCAGCTCCCTGCTGCTTCATGAGGCCATGAGCAGGTCGCCAGCTGCATACCAGCCAGTCAGCACATCGCCTCTCTTGCGGCGATGACTGGCAAGGCTGCCACGTGGGACAGCAGGCACAAAGCACCTTCCAAAGTCAGAGCAGGGCTAGGAGCTCTGGGCCCTCGCACGCCCTCCCTGGGCGTGTCATCAGAGGTCCTGCTTTCCCCAGGGCATCCTCCTCAGGAGGGGTGCAACTCACCAGCTCAGCCTGAGACAGAGGAACAGAGAAAAAGGACCCTCTTGCCCGCTCGGGGTGCCAGAGCCCGGATAGCAAAAGGCAACACGTTGATGTGGAGGAAGATGATGACCCTGTGTTCAGTCTTTCAGAGACTACAGGTGAAGAGGCTCACTGAGCTGAACCCCAGTGCGGTCTCACTGCCCATTACATCTCTGCACCCACACCTGCATCTCCAACGAGGCTTCCTCATCGGGGCCCCATCCTCGTCTTGTAACTGGCAAATGGGCGGTTAGAGCTGCGACTGATTCTCGGGGTCCCCTTTACTGTTACAGAAAAAGCCCCAGTCTGACTCATTCTTAGCACCTATCTTACCCTAAGCAGGACTCTGCTCTAATTTCTCTGCCCTAGAACCAATTTAGAAACCTAACCAGCAGCCCTGGCTTCCTGCTCCTGGGCTTCTCTGCACACCCAGAGCAGCAGCCTCTCCTGTTTGGGCTCTTCCTGACCATGTACCTGGCCTCTGTGCTGGGGAACCTGCTCATCATCGTGGCCATCGGCTCTGACCAGCACCTCCACACCCCCATGTACTTCTTCCTGGCCAACCTGTCCTTCATCGACACCTGCTTCTCCTGCACCATTGTCCCCAAGGTGCTGGTCAACATTCAGATGCAGGACCACACCATCTCCTACGCTGGGTGCCTCGTGCAGATGTACTTCTTCATGGCTTTGTCCCTTCTGGATGACTTCCTGCTGGCCGTGATGGCCTATGACCGCTACGTGGCCATCTGCCTTCCCCTCCACTACGCCACCATCATGCATCCCCAACGCTGCCTGCTGCTGGTCGCCGCATCCTGGCTCTGTGCCCACCTGCTGGCCTTCTCTCTCACTCTCCTCATGTCTCAGTTCTCCTTCTGTGCCTCCCGCTCCATCCCACACTTCTTCTGTGATCTTCTCCCCCTCCTCAAACTCGCCTGTTCAGACACACAAGTCTTTGAAGTCATGATGTTTGCTGAAGCAGCGCTGTCAGGTGTGGTTCCATTCACCTGTGTCCTGGTGTCCTATGCCCACATCATCCACACCATCCTCAGGGTCCCCTCCGCTGGAGCAAAGAACAAAGTCTTTTCTACCTGTGGCTCACACCTGACGGTGGTCACTCTCTTCTATGGCACAATATTCCTAGTGTATTTCCAGCCCTCATCCTCCTACTCAGCAGACACCGGCATGGTGGCATCTTTGGTATACACGATGGTCACCCCCATGCTGAACCCCTTCATCTACAGCCTGCGGAACAGGGACATGAAGGGGGCTTTGCAGAGACTCTGCAGCTGGGGGAAATTCTCCGCTGACTGAAGAGTTCTTCTCTTGCATGGAGGCTCCTTGATCTGTCTTCTGCCTGGTCTTCTCCATTGTGATGTTTAAACCAATAAGTTCAGGAAGTATGGAACTCGGTGTCATGAGTAGATTTAACAAATGGAGAATGCTGATTCAGCATGACTGCTGTAGGTTCAACTGGCCAAGGACGAAGCTACAGAGTGACCACAGCTCTCAAGTGGCTGAATAGAGTGGACAGTTATCCAGACAGGTTCATGCCAGTAGGAGGAAGTACCATCAGTGAAGAACATTGGCTGTCATTTAATGTATAGAGAAAGCCCAGGAGCCACTCAGTCATGATCACAGGCCCCACCCAGCTGTCACTGAGCCAAGAGAGGATCCCAGAGTCACTGGGTCAAGAGTCACTGGGTCCAGTCCCACCATCCTGCAACACGGCCGATGAGCCAGAATTAAGCCACCATGATCCCCTGCTCCAATGGGAACTGCAGGAATGCATGAGGCAGCTCTGTTCCCAACCCCAGGATCCTCTGGTCAAGACTGAAAAGAGGACAATGCAGATACCCATGTAGGCAGAGGAAGAGTCAATGTTTACTGATCAGTGAAAGGCTCCAGGGAGACCTCTCTGGGCATGAAAGACTCTGAAAAGGCCTCGGACTAAGGATCTACAGTCTGGGTTTGGGGACAAAGGAATTAAACTTTATTTGGCTGAGCGAGCAAGGACAGTGTACGGCTGAAGTCCACTGTCCTCCCAACCATGGATCGTATATTGTTACCTAGTGCAAGTGCCATCAGCTGCAGCGTGGCGCTGATACAAGGCCTGTGAGTGACCACCTCTCTGGTGGCCTTCTCAAGGCACTATAGATCTGCAGCTCCAGTTTGAACCGGTCTGGACCCAGGGGTTATAACTGCCTTCTCAAGGCACTATAGATCTGCAGCTCCAGTTTGAACTGGTCTGGACCCAGGGGTTATAACTGCCTTCTTCCACAACACCCTCCTTGGTAAGTTACAGGGAGACAACTCAGGAATGCATAATGCATTGGGTAAAAGGGGGAGAGGGAAACAATTATGGGAGCACATGCTGGGACCTGCAGTCGTTGGATTTGTTTAACCTCTTGCTTAGCCACCCTTGGCACAGGAATGTGCTGTCCTCAAGTCCTGTCTCAGTCCTGGGACCCTTGCTGTCTCACAGCTACAGGAGATACTAACAAGACTCTGAAGTGATCTGAGTTCCCGGGGACCACTGCTAAACACAAAATGGAAGTAGCTCATCAAAGATTAACCTCCATACAGAGGAAGCCGAACCAGTAAGATAAACCATTTGCTGGAACTATGTGAGCAGTAATAACTGCAGCAGAGGGCCCTCCCTGGTGGTGCAATGGGTTAAAGCAAAGCACTAGGAAGCTATCGCAGCCACTGCAGTATGAGTTCAATTCCCAGCCCGGGGGGGTTGGATGGGGGCAGACCCACATGGCGCAGGAGACCTCTCTGTCTTGCCAGCTGCCACCCTCAGCCGTCTATTTCAGTCGGTCTGTCTGTCCTGCTCCCCACTCTGTCTCTGGTGAGTCCTCTCTCCCCCTGCCCCTCTGACCTGTACCCCAGTTCTTGTATGCGTAAATATACAAAACAATTGTAGCAGAGCAAACTAGGGGAGAGAGATAGATGGGTGAACTGGCCCAAAACTGGGATTAGCACTAAAACCCCGACTGAGTGGATATTAATTTGACAGGAAGTCCTTGATTCTCTCATTTTGACCTTGCTTGTTTTGTTTCTGCCTGCTACAGAACAATACATGCTCACTATGTGAACAGAAACAAGTAGGGAAAAGAAAACACTTTCTTCCATTTCAAGACACCCACTGACTGATAATATTTTACTACATTTCCTCCGATCTTTTTCTAATTGCTTTTTGTGTTTTCTTTGTTAAGAAAATACCACAGGCACAATTAAATTTAATTTTTTTTAATCTTACATCATGAGTTTTCTCGACATTATTAACCTTCTGTATTATTTGACTCTCTAATAAGATGACATCAGAAGAAAAGCCCACAGTGTTTTATGTCAATGTTGAATATTTCATTGTTTATATATTTTTACTATTTCAAACAAGGCTTTGATAAGTACCTAGTATATACCTGTTTTAGATTTATCTGATTGTTATCTTTTATTCTGGTGTTAAGACTTTTCTGGGGGCAGAGGGAATTATAGGTGCTTTGGACCATGGTTTTTGGGACCCTTCACCCTTGGGTGATGGGGGAATGGCCAGGTTTCACTACTGCGAACAACAATCCAATAAAAGTCTCTGAAAAGAAATGGTTTTTGTATTCATAGTATGTGACTTTTTAAACTTTCAGAAGTAGAATGTCTAAATAAAATATTTTAGGGTTGTCATCCATCATGCCAAAATACCTACATAAGCACTCCCTTTTTCTATATCCTCTCCTTACTTTCAAACTTCTCTTAATTAAAATGTTAGCCAAAATGGTTATCTCCTTGCTTTAGTTTTAGTTTTCTTCATTACTGATGAAGGTGTTATTTTCCTGAGTCTGTTAACTAATTGTTTAAATTTTCCTATGAGTTATTTTGTCCTATAATCTGTCCATTATTTAAAAGGAGGTTTACTAAATTGTACTGGAGTTTTTACATTAAAGACATTGTATCTTTGTCTCCTTTGTCTTGGTAATGCTGACTAACACTTCATCTCTTCATTTTGTGATTTCTTCATGTAAGTGTTTATCATCAAGTCAGGACACCCTAACCACCTTTGCAGGAGTTACAATTTTAAAATACTTCCCTAAGAAGAATCCATACAAAGAATCAACTTTTTTTCATTTTTGTCTGAAATACATTAGTTTTTAATGTAATCCTATACAGTGTGACTTTGATTCTTTTCACTTACAAAGATGTTGAATAGCAGCATTATTTTTAAAGAAAAACAAATCTCAAATACCCACAATAGTCATATTTATATTTGGTATACATATAAAGGACGAGAAAGGCTGTTCTGTAAACAACTGATTTAAATTAAATTAAGTGTTCTAGGTATAACGCACTACTGTTATTATTAGATACCTGAGGAAAATATCAGGGCCTCCCTGGTGACGCAAGGAGTTAAGTCTCAGAACTCTGAAGCTATCCTTAGCCACTGCAGCATGAGTTCTATCCCCGGCCAGGGAGCTGACCCACATGGCACAGCAGGCCACTCCTGTCTCACCCGCTGCTCCCCTCAGCAGTGTATTTCAGTAGATGGGCCTGTTCTGCTCCCCACTCTGTCTCTGGCGAATCCTCTTACCCCCACCCCCCAAATCACTAGCCTATATCCCAGCTCTTGTATACATAAAATAAATCTTAAAAAAAAAAAAAAGAAAAAAAAACAGATAGAAAAAAGAAAAATATCACTGGCGGGACTGGCTGGTAGAGGTTTCTTTCGAATATTCTCTAACCTGGATGTTCCCCATGTCTGGCCTCTACCCCCCACCCGCTGGCTGACGTCTCCCCGCCCTCATTAAGCCAAAGGAATGAGGGTCTCCAGGGAGTAATAGAGCAACACCAGCCCCTGATTCAGAGGGAAGGCTGGTTGGCCTCAGGCCCCCAGGCCAACTCGCTAGGTAAGGGGCTTATCTTAACCTGGTTCCAGCTTCGGGCACAAACTTTGTCTTTGACCTCTGGTGGGGTGGCTCTACACCATCAGCTGGACCGCGGGCTGCTCTGTCCCTTAAATGTCACCAACTACCAGAGAGAAGGTCCTGGCTAGATTCCAAATCTGACATTCATAATCCAAAGTTATTTTTCAAGTTAAAGGCAAGAAAGGGAGAGAAGGAGGAAACTTACCAGAACATGGCTGTTCTGGGAATGTTCTTAAAGTCTCTGGTCAGCTTTTGGACATCTATAAGATTCTAAATAATAAATATAACCTCTCCAGAAGGTGCAAGGCTAACTCTGCAGTGTCTGGGACCTGCTTTACAGGGGAGGGTCAGGCTGGTGATGCTGCAGCCACCATCCCTCGGCAATGAGACCTCGCCAGCCAACAGCAGAGTCCAGCAGTCATGCCTGGAGCAGGAGCCGCTGTGGGGGAAGGAGTGGGCAACAGCACATCTGTGGAGGGTGGCAAGGCCGGGGCAAGCGATGCCTTCCAGGCACAGCCATTATAGAAAGCAATATGGTGGTGTCTCAAAAAATTGAAAACTGGGCCCTCCCCAGTGGCACAAGGGGTTAAAGCACAGCACTGTGACATAATCACAGCCACTGCAGCATGAGTTTGATCTGGGCCAGGGAGCTGACCCAAATGGCTCAGATGACCTCTCCTGACCCACGCACTGCCCCGCTCAGCAGTGTGTTTCACCGCATCTTGCCTGTTCTGTTCTCCACTCTGTCTCTGGTGAATCTTCTCACCACCCCCTGCACCTCAAGCCTGTACCCCAGTTCTTGTATGTATGTATGTATGTATGTATGGGTAAATAAATAAATAAATCTTTTTTAAACATTAAAAAAATAAAAATAAAAGCAATGAATGTGACATCCAATCCATCATTTTTCTCTTTTTCCTATCATGTGGCATGATGAGGAAGGGTCTACTCCATGACAGGGACAGGCTGACAGAGATGAGCCCCACCTGTATGGCCCCTATGGGAAGAATACCAGGGCAGGGCCCCCAGGGAACCGAACCCTCATCTCTTTGAGAGGAGGCACTGCTGGGACCCCAGGGGCCACGGTCTAAAATTGCCTCATCTTGTGTCTAGCTGGGAAGTCTGGGATTGAGTCCCAGGAGATGCTGCATGTGAATACTGAGCAGTTCCTCCCAAATCTTCAGTCCATGGAAGAAATCGGAGGCACCAGTCATGTCTTCCTGGGGAGACAGAGCAGCAGGGAACCCACTCTCCCTGTTGTCAGCGACTGCGCTTGGCCAGCATCGCCAGGTGAGAACCAAGGCCTTGGGATGGGAAGGGAGCCCGGCTGACCGAAGGTGAGCAGCGCATGGCACACGCAGAGCACCCTGGAGCTGCCTCCTCCGTTCTGTTCCC